TCTTTTCCCCTACTCCCACCCCTACCCGACTTGTAAAGCGACCTTGGGTTTCGTGAAAGGCGCTATATAAATATTATGTATTATTATTATTATTAAATAAATAGTCCAATCCCAAAGATCAGTGCAACAACATGAAATTACAGAAACAATTATTCGTGTCCGTTGCTGGTCATTTAAGAACTTCCATTAGCAGTTACTCTCATTCATGTAAAAATACTGGCTGGAAGTTTTGAGGAATGCATCCCCAAAATCAGCATATTACCTTATTGAAACACGTGTGAAAAGCTAATTTAATTAAGAATGTATTTTGTCTCTGCTATTGTTCTGCTTATTGTACGAAGGCGACATTTATACTTTGCCTCGTGGACACACTTTATGGCCGTTTGCTCTATGATAATATTAGAGAAATTGCTTTTGTGAAACTAACCTTGAGACGGTGCAGATATTGTCCTCAAGTGATGCTATATTTTAGCAGCCAACCATTTAGATTACCACCAATAATGGACTATAAAGGGACAGAAGATCAAAAGATGAGACCTCGACACAATACTCCAACGACACCTTTTTCGGACCATCCAACAATGACTCAGACGAACAAGGGGATCTTCTTCAGGTGGGTTTTTGTTTCACCTGACAAAAGGTCGCCTCCAGGGTCCAAACGCTCTTTGATGGTGTAATAAAGGTGGAGCATTACGCAGTCCTTTCATCTTCCGTACTTTAACGTACATTTCGGCCCACCAACTCAAAAATAGACCATCTGTTTTGCACAGATAATAAATATGTTGTCACGTCTAAGGACTCTGTTTGCTCTTTATCCTTGCCACCACTTTGATCTGCATGCGGTCGGCCTCATTCACGTCCTCTTTGTTGTGCGTGTGTCTATTATGTTTTCTAATTTCCCCTCGAGGCACGGCAAATATTGACTCAACTTGTCACTAATCCATTCCTGTTGAAAAGTTTATTTGCCCCGCAACAAAAGCCAAGAACAGATCCATACGCTGCAAACCGGAACCTCTTTTTCTAGAACTGGAAACGTCGACTTTTGAGTGAGAGTATACTCATACTCGCCTACAACAGTACTATAATTCTAATAATTCTACATCAACATGTGTCCCCTCTTCTCCATGTCTCTTCTACATCAACATGTGTCCCCTCTTCTTCATGTCTCTTCTACATCAACATGTGTCCCCTCTTCTTCATGTCTCTTCTACATCAACATGTGTCCCCTCTTCTTCATGTCTCTTCTACGATCAACAATGTGTCCCCTCTTCTTCATGTCTCTTCTACATCAACATGTGTCCCCTCTTCTTCATGTCTCTTCTACATCAACATGTGTCCCCTCTTCTTCATGTCTCTTCTACATCAACATGTGTCCCCTCTTCTTCATGTCTCTTCTACATCAACATGTGTCCCCTCTGTGGAAAGAGATTCTGAAAGTTTCAGGAACAAAGATTCTCTCTCTTTTCGTCCTGATCCATTTCTATAAAAACCTGTCTGAAAATGAGCTGATCAGATTTTGGCCACTTTATGATGTCATAACCAGGGCTGCACATAACTGGTGCGCAGTTCATTTGAAAAAAGGCGCATTTGCGCACCAACATTGAGAGAGGGAGAGAGAGAGAGAAAAGAGAGATGAGATAAGAGAGAGATAGGAAAGAGAGAGAGATGTTTGCGAGCAGGTATATTAACGGTCGCTAAAGTATAATTCGAGAGCTATTTAGGTTTAATTTAAAAAAAAAAAATGTAATCTGTGATCCCTCGCTCTACCCCTTGCTATCGCGTGAAGGGTCTGCTTTAGGCGCTCCGCACAGTAACCCTGCTGCGTGCTCACTAGCGCACCC